AAATGAGATAAATGGCGCATGCCTTTTATTGCTTTTGTTTATTCCGCTTGCTAAATTCGCGCGGGCACACGTTCACAATCATATTGTTTTAAACAAAGATTCTCATCAGAATATAGTATACAAAATGGGTTTTTATACGTTTAAAGGTGCTTTAAATCGTACTACTATTAAATTATATTCAATGGCAAATACTGAAAGAGTTATGAAAGTTGTTCTAGCGAAAAGAGGGCTTGAATATTCGTTAAAAGACGAGACATTCAAATGTATCTCGGCAATAATGTAAAATGGTGAAGATGTTTTGGTTGTTTTCCAACAGGTTATGGGCTTATTATGGCAAATATTAAAATATTTCAGCTGCTACCTGACGTGTACGACGTGTTACTTGGCGTAACTAATTCTATCGTGATAGTAATATCTCCACATGAATGACCAAGGCCAATGCATGATGTTAAACCCGGCGTACTTAATCGATAAAAACCGATCATCGGAAACCCAATCGATCAATCGATGGTAATCGATGTTAATTACTTAATTGATATCGATTGACATTGGTCAATCGATGACCAATCGATACTCACGAAAAGTTATAGCCAATTTTATCGATTATTATCGATATTCATCGATTTTCATCGATATTTATCGATTTTTATCGACAAAATACTTTCGATTTTTATCGACTTATATCCTAAATAATCGCCGCGTTTTGGCGTGTTTGAGCTAAATGGTAAATCTGTTCTCATTTTTCGAATTTACACATGTATTTGATCTGTATTATAGCTAGATGAAAACTTAATTTAATCCATTGTTACTGAATTCCGTTCACATTTGAGTTTGTTACGATATTAAAGTTATACGTATTAATTAAATTACGGCGTTACATGTTTGATTGCATGCATATTAAAGGAGGATTTTTTCATCAATGAAAATTAATAATAAATCGATGATCAATCGATGAAAGTCACAGAAAAAGAAGCCATCGATTATTCATCGATTTCCAATATCAATCGATTGATAAATATCGATTGGTATTGATTGATATCGATACTCATCGATTATCGATTTCATCGATTAAGTACGCCGGGTGTTAAAGTATGATACAAGGCCATTCTGTGCTACACTATATTATGGTGATGCAGCGATATCAAATTACCATTGGATCCACATGAGAACCTGACGTATAAGCTGTTCTATATGCACCCAGAAATCTGTGTCTGTGACAAGAAAATACAAGCTTTTTTGAACTGTATACTGTAAACCTCTGAATATAATACTCACCTCATTCCGAATATAAGCCCCCTCCCCCCAATATAAGCTCCCCTGAATATAAGTTCCCTGAATATAAGCCCCCTGAATATAAGCCCCCTGAATATAAGCCCAGTATCCCACTATGTTATTTAACATTGACATTGTCTTTTAATATAACAGAGAACGATATTTGAAACACTGTCATTGTCTTTATAGCTTACTATGTTAATGGAGTGTGTTATTAATACATGTTTATTTTCCTGTTTATGACTGACTTGTTTATTACTAACACAATTGATCGTCCATGTATGAGGCCCCCGTGCATATAAGCCCCCCCCCCCCTAAGCCCATCAAAAATCACTTACAAAAGAATATAAGCCCAGGGCTTATAGTCAGAGGTTTACGGTATTATATATCCCATATTTTAACAATAAACACATTATTTTTTATATTATATTACATTAACATATATAGATGGAGCACATATAAAGTATTTAAATGACAGTACATTCTGTTTGTAATTATAATTACCATAATTACTTGTGTCGAAAGTAAGAAATGAAGTGAACAAATCCATATATATTTGTTGAAAATTTCTTGCAGTGGGTATCTTCCATTTGTTTTTCATGCTTCACACTGTGTATCTTTGAACATTTAATCAGCAACTAATTATAGGCAAGGATATATTTACTAACTCATTACTCCATATTACCAGGTACATAACATGCAAATTATACATCAACCTTGCAATCCAGGCTTTAACCTCTGCAGTTGCCCCTCTCCTGCAGCATGTTTGGGAAGGGAGAGGAAGGGTACTGTAATTTCTATATTTAGCCCCCTTCTCTTCAAGCCCCTCTCCAATAACCCCCTCCCCCTCATTTGGATACAAAAATCAAAAAGCCCCCCTCCTCATTTGGATACAAAAATAAATAAGCCCCCCTCCTCTTTTAACCATGCAGCCCTCATTCAATTTCTTAAAATCATGAAATATATTGCATTTCTGCAGTATTTTAATAAAATATAGTACAACGGTAACTCTGAATATGGACATTTTTTAATGGTAACCAGACTTATTGCATATATTTAGAACAAGTGCCCCCTCAATGATGCTTAGGAAACAATAATACACAGGAGGCTTGGTAATTGATACAGAAATTAAAGTAGTTATTTGATTGAAACTGGTAGCTATTTCAATTCTACTGTCAGTATCTCCTTTTATATATAATTGGATTAATTGCCAATATATTCACATAGTATAATAGTTTGGAAATGGAATCAGTACTTGTATATTTTTAGCAAATGAGCATTGTTATTGATCAACAATGACTCTTATTGCTATAAACAACATTGTTTCACACAGCACATAGCAACAGACAAGGAAACATCTGTATTTAAATTCACTAATTTTTTATCCAGACACAAATTGATGTAAAAATTGTTTCAGGTTTGGCTTAGTTATAGCCTTACATCAGGCTATTCCATTTAATATCCATACCCCCCCCCCCTGTCGAGGATCCCTGGAATTCTTCAGGGGTAAAGTGTTTTGAGCTTGGAATTCTTCAGGGGTAAGGTTTGAGCTTGGAATTCTTCAGGGATAAAGGGTTTTGAGCTTGGAATTTTGGAATTCTTTGAACAGGGGTAAAAGGTTTTGAGCTTGGAATTCTTCAGGGGTAAAGGGTTTTGAGCTTGGAATTTTGGAATTCTCCAGGGGTAAAAGGTTTTGAGTTTGAAATTCTTAATTTTAATTCTATAACCATGAAAAACATGTATCATCGACAGGGGGTGTACAGATATTAAATGGAATAGCCCATCATGCTGTCAAGTGGCAATCACTTACAAAGCAAATCTATAACCAAATGTTTTACAACCTGAGGAACTTCTTAAATCAATTATTCTATAATTTATACAGATGCTACAAAAACACCTGGCATCTTAAATTTATATAGATACTGTAACTCCATTTACAAAAGCACAAAGACCACGGGCTACAACATGTTGAGTGTTGACCATAATGTACTGCATTGTTTAAAGCTTCAAGTTTTTAACACAAGCAAAAGCTGTCACTCCAAAGTCCTGGCAACAATATGTCAATTTAACAAAACGACAACGTGTGCGATGATTTCTTTTAGCCAATTGGGCCCAATTCTTTCATGGTTATAATGAATATACTTGTACTGTAGATCGATAAAAAGTCGTTCATAAATACCATGCCATTTTGTAAGTATATACCCAACGTCCCAATACTTTTTCATACGATTAATATCATATCCTTCGATTTATATCGTTTGATTTCGCATTCCAAATCTGATAAACATTGATAATTCTCTCTTCGGCGTCTTCGCGTATGTCCACGCGTAATTCTCGCAAAAAACACGCATTAATTGTGTCGGCAGCATTGATGATCACGGCAGCCAATCAAATAACGATTTCGATTCGATTTCCCCAGAGTCATGCCACAACCTAACCCGCGAACAGGCATACTCTGGGAACGAGATTGCGCACAGACGCGTTTTTATTAGCTAGGCCTGCAGGCTCTCTCTCAAATTTCAAAGAGAGTTCAAAGAGAGCCTGTTCGCAGGCTACTTCTGAACTGGAAGCTGTTTGTGTTGAAATTATTAAGCCACATAGCAAACCTTTTGTTGTTACGACCGTTTACCGACCACCCAGTGCATTATCAGAATTCTTTGATCATTTTGAAAAACTGATCAAAGCTATAGATAATGAAAATAAGGAAATGTACATTCTGGGTGATCTAAACTGTGATTTGCTAAGACCAGATAAAGATGATAACATACCAACAAAGAAAATAAATTCTTTGCATGAATTATATCAGTTATCACAACTGATAAATGAAGCTACTCGAGTAATTATGACAACTACTAGTCTAATTGATCATATGGTTACTAATACACAAAAAAATGTCTGATTCTGGTGTCATTCACACAGGTATAAGTGATCATAGTTTGATATTTGCTATCAGCAAAATTTCTGTTATAAAGAAACAAGAGAATATAGTAGAGATGAGAAACATGAAAAATTTTAATGAAGAAAAATTTGTTGCGGAACTGCTCAAACAGCACTGGGAACAAGTTTATTTTTTTGCTGAAGACCCAAATGATATGTGGGAGATTTGGAAAAAAATATTCGTAGAAGTCCTAGATAAGCATGCACCACTTCAATGCAAAAAAAATCAGGTCTAAAAAAGTCCCTTGGATTACAAGTGATATAAAGAAACTTATTAATACAAGGGACAAATTAAAAGAAAAGCCATTTCGACAAACCTAGAAAATGATTGGTTTGATTATAAAACGTCTAGAAACAAAGTAAACATAGAACTAAGGAATGCCAAAAAATTACTATTCCTCAAAAATAGCTGGTCAAAAATTCAATCCTAAAAAAGCTTGGAAAAGTATAAACAACTTATTAGGTAGGCAAAACAAACCAACAGTGGTGAATGAGATTAATCTAGGGGGAAAAAATTTTACAACTCCCAAAGATATTGCAGAGGGCTTTAATGATTACTTTTCAAATATTGGACCTGATTTAGCTAGCAAAATTGATACTTCAAATTATAATTTTGAAACATATACTAAAACTGCTGAATCAGAATTTGCTGCATTCCAGCCTGTTACTGTCAGTCATGTATGTCGTCTCTTGCATGGGCTTTCCAGCAATAAAGCCACTGGCATTGACAAAATTTCTTGTAAAATTCTGCACCAGCTATTTCAGACTCATTGACATTTATTTTCAATCAGGCTATAACTCTATCCTCCTTTCCTAATGAATGGAAAATGGCAAGAGTAATACCTTTGTATAAAAATGGCCAACGGAATATTCCAGGAAACTATAGACCAATATCAGTTTTACCTGCGATTAGCAAAATTATGGAGCGAATTATGTATGATCAACTGTATAACTATTTAACAAAGTTTGAACTCCTTAGCGATTCTCAATTCGGTTTTCGAAAATCTCATTCTACAGCAACTGCATTACTAGACTGTACCAATGATTGGTATATGAATCTAGAAAAATGTTTAACCTAGTAGTTTTAATTGATCTAAGAAAAGCATTTGATACTGTTGATCATCAAATTCTAGTGAGGAAGTTAGAACTTTATGGAATAAAAGGAGAATTAATCTCTAACTTTGCTCAAATCTTATCTCACAAACAGAAACCAGAAGTGCCAAATTAAAAATTCCTTTTCTACAGAGCGATTGATTAAATGTGGCGTACCACAAGGCTCTATCTTAGGACCACTATTCTTTTTGTTATATATAAATGATTTACCTCGGTGTCTAAACAAAACAAAACCTCGATTGTTTGCTGACGACACAAATTTGACAACTTCGGGAGATTCTATAACTGACCTTGAAACTGCAGTAAATTCTGTTTTGGAAAACCTCAGAAAATGGTTAATTGCCAATAAACTTAGTCTAAATGTAGCTAAGACAGAATTTATGTTAATTGGTTCAGAGGCAATGATTAAAAAAATTCTGATTCACGTTTGAATGTTTTCATTGAAAATAAGCAAATTAAACAAGTTAGCGAATGCAAAACTCTTGGAGTAATAGTTGACCAGCATTTGTCTTGGAAAAGAAATTCCGAAAATATTTGAAAAAAAATAACTGCAGGAATCTCTGCTATTCGTCGAGTCAAACCTTTCGTTGACAAAGATACACTCATTTCGATATATAATGCTATTGTTCGCCCATACTTTGATTACTGTTGTGAAGTACGGAATGTGTTTGGTGAATCACAATCAAAACGACTCCAAAAACTTCAAAATAGAGCTGCTAGAATTATCTTGAACATGAGTAATGACGTAAATCATTCCATTGCTCTACGTGCATTGGGCAGGGAGCCACTCAAAACTGAAAGGAAGAAAGCTAAGGCAAAAATGATGTACAAAGTATTAAATAAAATGGGTCCTAAATCACTCACTAATCTTTTTTCTTACAAATGTGAGAAAACAAACTACAACCTTCGTGACATTTCAAGCGGTCTTAGTTTACCAAAACCGCGTACTAACAACATGAAAAATAGTTTCATGTGTGACGGAGCACACCTTTGGAATTCTATTCCAAAGGAAATTAGGGAAAGCAAAACTCTTTCATCCTTTAGAAATAAAATCGCTGCTCACAAAATTGACATAGAGTAATAAGTAAATTGATGTAACTGT